GGGGGGGGGGGGGGGGGGGGGGGTAAGTGGTACTTGTAATCATGTGTATAGCTTTTTTGTTTGTTTTTTTGTATACGTGTTAGGCTAAAATTTAGTCTTTTACTTTGCACACTATCTTCTGGTTCCTGTTGTTTGCTTGTAACATTTGTTAATATATTGCTCTCCTTTGTTTTTCTCTTAAGTGTATATGAAGTATTCAGAAACTCTTAGTTTTGAGAACAATGAATGATTTTATCTAGTTTACTGTATTGTGTACTGGAAGTACCTTAGTATGCTGTATGCTTTTCATTATGTAGTTTTAAATAGATTTGCATATCATTATCAAGAGTTAATATTGGCTGCTTGCATTACTCTTCAACTTGAATAATCATATTTTGTTAGTTTTAGTTTACTGCTTTTTGTTATGCTACGTTACTAATTTATTCCTAACGAATATACACCACCTAATAATTTTATTTTTTTAGGAAACCCATTGTCCAAACACCAAGTTTAATTTTTCAATTCTCGATAATCGTAGTTTTACTCTCAGTTTAATATTAAAATATTTAGAAACTAAGTCTAGCATTACCACTAACTGTGATTCATTACTATATCAGTACTGCTACTAGTACTGTAATATTATTATTATTATTAATAGTACTAATTTACTTTTAATAGTTTAAAAACTAGATTATAACAGTATAACTTAAGTTATATTACCTTATAAGCTGGCTACAACAGTACAAGTACAACCTACATACAGAATATAGATCCTGAGATAGCATTACTATTAATAGAATACTGAGACAAGATATTCTGACAAAAACATACCATGTCCTTATAGTTTTATTAACATATTGTTTAGTTATTTTAACTTCTTAAATATAAAACTGATTGTCTTAAAAAGTAACCCCCAACATCTTTTAACATAGTTAGTAAAATCTAAACTTCTTGCTCGCGCTCCAAAGTGGCTCAACAGTAGGTCTAATGAGTCATAATACTAAAAACCCGGTTTCGATACTCTAGTTGGCATAGCATAGCTAAATGCGTAGCTTTGCGCTTAACAACGAATAACAAAGCTATAATTTTGTTTTAAATAATTAAAAAGTAATCATAGGTAAATCTGTGAAGTCGTGAGTTATATTTAATTTTTAATTACGGTTTTGTTAGAGATTTTCCTTCGACACTAAAGCAATACTTTTAAATATTGTTAAAACATCTCCACTCAACATTTTTTTCTAATAACGTTTACGTCTATTGGTTTTGAAATATTTCGCCTATTTTTGATGTTTAAATCGTATATTTGTACTTGCCTTAAAATCACTAGCTCACCTATCATATCGTGTATATTAAACATTCAATACGTAATTTTTATATTACAAAACCGATAAAATGTTCCCCTAGCGGTGACATATAGAAACAAAGTTTATTCGTCTTATGTAAGATTTATGCTAAACCATAGATAAAAATAACACTAGATTGAAAGTCACGTGATTTTCGACATGCGCAAGCGGTCGCAATTGCTAGTGTTGAATTTTCAAAACTCGCCAGTCGAACTGACAATGGCAAAGCGAACTCACCTCATAACTTATGGCCGTTTTCCATCTAAGCCAGACGTTTGGATCATTTTGCTACTTGGTTTTAATAAATATGTCGAACCAAGATTACCTAAACCTGATTTTAACTTAGAAATTAATGCAAAAATACAAGTCCTTTCTTAAATAAAACTAGTTTATTCTTTCTCATTACAAACTTTGTGATACACAGAATTTCCACAATCACTTTAAACTTAACTACTTTTATAAACACACGCTATAATTCACAGCGATTCACACACTTTATTTACGGTCACTACTGCTTACTTGACTCGATTATCTGTCTGTCTATCTTCCTGTCTGCCATTCTCTCCGCTTTATTTGCCGGGCTTATATACAAAAAATAGAGGGCGCGTAGAAAAGACTAGAGTTGCCAGGAAGAGTCATGTTTCTTCTAGAAACTCATCACGTGTTACCAGCGTCACGTGACTTTCGCTGTCTCAACACTGCCCCTTCCTTAGTATTGTTCGTCCCGAACAATAGCCACTTACCTTGAACCAATAGATAATTAACAATAACTTGATTAAATATACAGAATTTACAAACACAAAATTAAAATTCAACAAAGTCTCTTAATTTTACGGGACGTATCTTCTTCCGTATTGGTCTCAGTCTCGTTGGCTTCTGCTTCACGTGGGGTTCATCTGCTCCATCAGGAAATGTCCTGTTATCGGTAACAGTCACATCAGTGGTAGTAACTTCATTAAGGGCTTCACTGTTTTCCTTCTCAAAACTGGGTAGAGTTTCTTCTTCGACAGTGGCTTTTTCAGGTGACACGTCTTCAGCAGCGCCATTTGTTCCGTTGTTCACTTTGTTCCAACTGAAATGACCTGGACTGTGATAACTCCAAAGCCTGTTGGCATGCACCACCTTTGGTTTACCTCTCCGACCACATTTTATTCGGAAAGTCACGTCTGAGAGACGATCCACTATGTCATATGGGCCTTCCCATGGAGAAGACAACTTAGGAGACTTCCCTTTGGTCTTCCTGGGATTATACAACCACACCTTGTCTCCTGGTTCAAAGCTGACTTAGGTAGATCTCTTATCATAATTTAACTTCATCGAATCAGCAGACGTTTTCAAGTTTAAACACACCTGATGGTGAATATCATCGATCCTTTCCGATAACACTTTT